GGAAAAGTGTCAGTTTAAAATGTTTTTTCTGTGTACCTTCAGGTATGTCCTCTACAAAACTGAGTTACCAATGAGGATATGGGAGCATCATCAAATACACACTTACTGTTAATCTTAGCAATTATAACTGAAATATAATTTCAGTGAGCATATGTCCTGTGTATAATGTACATAATACGATATTACCCTATCACCTAAATGCATTCCATATCGTGAAAATAGAGAGCAAGGCACCAAGAATGTATTTAAAAAAGCATTGCAGATGGGATTACACAGTGTTCCCAGATGCTGAAGCCAGGTTGGGACCAACTGGCTAAATGAAGTCTGAGGCATTTGCAGATCAAGACATAATCTCAGCGAGCTAAAAATACATTTGAACAATTTCACAGGAAGAAGTGTGAACCAGCTTTGCAACAAGGAGCTGGTTCAACTTAATATTCCCCCAAATACTGATGCTGCCAGTCAACAAAGTTTCACACGAGTCCCATGACTAAGTCAGCTGAGCCTTGGGAGAAATGGGGACTTTACATCCCCTTTCATTGGCCCTTCAATAAGATGCTCATATTTTGTTTTTACATTTGGGAATAGACTGCATGTATTGATAAGGGAGATATACAGGCAGGGATGTTCAGAATGGGTGGTTACATAGAGTGTCATCGAGAAGGCCTAAGTTGGGGTTACTCACTGGGTTTACAGTACTGTGCCAATGACTAACTATGGGAACTCAGGAGTTTCTAATTCCTTGCTTCTCTGACACCTCAGCCTTAGATAGCAGTAGCATCGTTCTCTCGTATCTGTGTGGGCATTGCATGAGCATCCTTATGCACAACTCTTAGCACAGTATCTGGTCTCCAGGAAAGATGAAGTAGAAGGCATTTCAGGTGTTATCAGAGTGATGAGAAAATGCTTGTTTCCTTCTACTGTGTGACGTATTATATGGTAATAGCTGATTGAAATTGTTACCTATGCACAAGCACTGTTCTAACCCAGTAGGTGTGAGAATCCTTTACCCAGAAAGAGAGGGAGAACCTGGTGGAGTCTCTTGAGTTTGTGCAAAGGTTTTGGAATCGTTGTCTACCTATTAGTTGAATCAGTGTGTCTAGGGTAAGATTTAGGAAAACAAATTCTGTTGTGATTATTTTTTCTTTATTTTTATTTTTTTGGTAATGTAGTAGAAGTGAGACAAGGAAGGAGAGGTCACCTCCTCTGAGGTCTTCTCTTATGCAGAAGCTCAAGTTCCTTGTAATCTGATTCTATTACTTTTACTGATGGCTAAGGTACCCAGTGGATGGTGCTGTCAGCCATCTAGGATGCTTTGCCTTGGAAACCTGCAAGAATTTGCTACAAAGGCATGGCAGCAGCCTGGTGCAGTGCATCCTGAACTGCTCATCAGTCCCTGACATCACTGTCCAACATGATATGGATACAAGACTGAGGTCTCTTCACCCACAGCCATGCATATCTTGAAGAAGATATATATGTTTAATCAAATATGTCCTGTATTATCAGAGAACAAAACAAGTATCATTAGGAACTCTCTGTTTCAGAAGTGCAATCTGATATAGAAATTAAATAGTCCAGTACTGATTGGCCAGGCCTTTATTAGTCCAGTTGACACACAGCCAGGAGGAGAGGGAAAAGCCTGCATTGTGAGTTAAGAGGGCAGGTTGTAGAAGCTGACCCATGGAGACACCTCCATTACATGGATGTCTGAATCACTGTCACTGAAGATCAGTCTTTCTTACTGCACCTCAATTTTGAGTATTTTGAGGTGTTTTGACCAGTTACCTCTGTACTCATATGACTTCTGACCAAGAAAACTGTCATGTGTTAGAGTACTAATCAGTCTTATTTGGAGTGTGGAAATATCCAAAGAAACATTCTCATTAAGTTCACTTGGATTTCTATAATAGTTAACTAACAAATTTTATGGTACTTTTTGCATTAATTGATAAAATGTACTCATAAGAAACAAGATATATATTATGTATGATTGTATCTTAATATATGAATAGTATGAATTGTTCTGAGGAACTTATAATATCAAAATGTTTATTACAACATAAGTACATGGATAGCACCAGGACACCATGATTGGTGGGGGTACCATTTTATTTACCTCCTGGGAATCAGTGGAGCTATTGATTCCATAGCGAATATATTTTCACTGATATCATAGCAAGCCATGTTTGACAGCAACTTCAAACTGTCAGAACCGTTTACCTCTGTAAAATCTACAGTCAACTGACATCCCATGTTTCTGATATAACTCTACCAATATTTTTGAAGGGCAGTATTGCCAGTGCTCTCTGGTTACTCTGTGCTGCATCCCCCCCCCCCCCCCCAGCACCTTCCTGATGGTTCAACAGGCTGGGGCCCTCAGTGCTTCCGAGTCTGTTAAGTGGGGTTAGAATCCTGGGTGCAGAGATTACCATGCTTCAAGTGTGTGTGCTGCAGTGTATCTGCACTAATCATCAGTTATTGCGCTAACTGAAAGAACTTAGTCGTGGAGGCTCTGCTCCCCAGCTGTGCCCATCGCCGTTTATGGTGTCTCTCAGGGTTGTGGCTGCGCATGGTCCTGGAAAAGCAAAGTGGGGTTATTCCCAAGGAAAACAACTTCATTAAAAAAATTAATAATAATAATAATAACTGTGGGGCTTTTTCACTTACATGAAGCTAAGGTGTACATTTTGACTTGAATATTTGTAGGATTTTAAGACCAACAATGAAAAGAATAAATAAACATTGTGAAAATACAGAGATTTAAATGTGCTAAATGGACCATGGACCCAGGCCCTAGGCAGTTTCTCATGACTTACTAGCTCGTAACTTCAAAACGCTGGCTAGCTTGCATTTTCTAAACTCAGAAGTTTATCTCAGCTAGTGGGGAGAGTGGGGACAGTGGGGACAGTGGGGACAGTGGTTAGAGTATACGTGCTGTATATTGGTCCAGAGCACTAAAAGGGACGTAAGCCCCTACTCAGATTCTAACTGTTCCTTAAACCTCCCTTTCTGACACTTCCCTGTCCTCTCTCCAGCTTGGGCCAGGCTTCCCTTATAAGGCTTCCGCTATCCTCCTCCTCTGGGCAAGACCTGCTCCAGGGTAGGAAGCAGTGTCAGCTCATCCTTCAAACTGCCTCCCAACCAAGCCGCCTTGGGAGGCTTTGCACAGGGAGATTCCCAGAGCTGCTGGGAGAAGCTGAGGGAGCATGGAGAGCTAGCTCCCTAGCTGCAGCAAGGCATCCCCCAGAGGAGCGGGCAACACTGCGAACCAACGGGGCAGCAAGGGACACGTCTGAGAATGAGGCCATATGTGTCAACAACCTCAGGCCTGGAAGGAAAGATTTTAAGTCTCGAAGAAGTTAATTGAGTTCACCAGCAATGCTGGGTAACATTGTAGCTGCTTCTGTCAGGATCTGCTAGGATGAGAAAGACCCCACAAATAGGGACAGTGTTGTGCATTTCCAAGGTAAAAATATGACAGGAAATTGGAATAGTCTAGGGGATATGGACTTTTTCAAAGCTTCTGATGACTAAGAATTAGTGTTTTTTCTTCTTGTTTCCTGAGAGAAAATATTTGTGATGAGAGGACCTAAGTTGTGCTTCTTAGAGTGTTCTCATAGAGAGGCAAGGACCAGGAGTTGGGAGCGCTTCACTCTGCTCTGCCAGTAGAATTTGCTAATAAAATATCCAACTGCGATTTGTTGGGATGGTGGTTTTAGTGAACTGTTTTCATGAAAGATAGCTGCCTGAAAAGTGAAAACATCAAACTCTGGAAATTATACTAACCTTTGTCACCCTGTAGGCAAATATTTAGCAACTGTTTTATATATATTATATATATGCACACACAGATTTGGTATAATAGCCGACTAACAAATTTTGTGGTACATTTATCATTAATTGATAAAATTCACCCATAAGAAACAAGTTATACACATATGTGAGAGTATGTTTTTATACTTGTACAAGAAACATGTATACATGTACGAGTATAATGCTTTTATTACACACACATGTACATCTACATATACCCACTCTGTAAGATCTCCTTAGTGTCTGTCATGCCTTCTCTGTAAGGCCATTGAGCACAATGACTATTCTGAAATCTCAGGTTCAGCCATGTCAGCTTCTGAGATTAGTCAGCATGGCAAGTTGAAGTTGACATATTTGAAATGTGATTTATAAGAAGTCTAATTTGGGCCCCTCATGTGTGACTTTCTGATTGTCTTTGTAGATGGCTGATTCAGAAAATGTCTAAAGTAGAGAGAGCTAGTGAAATCTAAACTTGATTTCATCTTCTCAACAACACTTGAAATCTGTTGAGACAGTTTCAATGTGGCTTTCCTTTCAGAGGCAGTAAACTGCAAAACATGTATGAGAATGATCACAAAATGCTCCTTATTGATGACTTTTAGCTGTTCACTTTTAAATTCAAACTTGTGTGGGTTGTTTTAAGATAATTCCGTGGAGGCTGATCTATAGAAATTTTCATTTTCTCAGAATTGGCACCATACAAAAATAATTAAGCAAATCTAGGATTGTATTACTTTGTCTTTAGAATATTTATGCTTCAAGAGTCTAAAGATTGTTTTTATCTGAATTTTTCACTTATGGATGTCTGCACACAATACAGTCTAGAGAACTAAGGGTGAGAGAAAGAACCTTGCCATGTATTTCCTCCCACTATTGAGAAGGCACGATAAATTTTCCAGCCTCATATAAATTAATGTAATGTTTCCACGCTGCAGTTTATTACAGCCTGACCTCCAACCCAGAGGTCAGAGAGTCACATTGATTCAGTCAACTTCCCAGTCATTACTTCAAATGAAAGTTCAGATAGGGGGACAATTGGTTATGCTGCTATTCTTATTTAATTATGCTCCGTTCTTACAGAATTAGGTTAGCAGTATTGAAGGGATGGGGATGAAGGAAGACCATCCGGGGATGTCCTCTTCAGGTACTTCAGCACTGAATCTTCCTCTCTCTTCTATTCTCAGAATCTCAACACCCTTGAGAACAGAATGCTAATGCTTGATGGGATGCCGGCAGTCAGAGTCAAAACAGAGCTTTTGGAATCTGAACAAGGGGTAAGCAGAAATCTACACAGATGCCCCTTCTCATGCCTGGTCCCTTCACTTCCAGAGCAGCGTTCTCTCTTTTGTTCCCGGCCTAAGGAATCACCAAAGCTTGATTCTCACTCACTTGCAACCTTAAAGATCTGTGTCCCCTTTGGAGTGGACAATGTTCTGAAACTAGGCCTTCTTGATGACCTTAGGAGACCCCCCTTGCTGAGTTAAAATTGCTGCTTGGAATGCTACTGAAACCAAAGTAAAGAGAAAGTATTTAAAATAAGGTGGGAATATAACTCCTCAGTGTGAGGATCTAAATTAGGAAATGACAGAGAACAGGCATGTGAATATTAATGTTGGTTAAATGGAATTCTTTTTTTATTTGTATCTAGTTCTCTTTCCCACTTTGGAAATTTTACCAGTTCTAGGAAATGGTTGATGAAGTTGGGACAGTTAATGTGAAAAGTACCCCAAAGCAAAAAGAAAACGATTTAGCAATCCATAGCTAAACTCATGAATGAGTTTATGGATACAGAAAACAGAGTATCTAGGAACACAGATTTCATATGAGGGCACATAGACTATTTTATTATTGGTGACATTTAAATCTTCATTAATCAAAAACATAAAGCCATTATAATAGATTACAGTGGTGTCTGACCACGGTGTTTAAAGAAGAAATCACTGTATACCTGTGTGCACACTGGCTCCAGACCTTATGACATTGCCACCACTCAGGCAGCACAGATAAGCTAACCAAAGGATATGAATAAACCCACAATTGTCACCTTACTAATGTGTGTCCTAATAAAGAAATCAATGCTACACATTAGTAATTTTGTAGTTGGAGAATCCAAAGAAATTTTAAATATAAATAGAATCTCAAAAGTAGAGGATAGAAATCAGTGTGGTTAAGTTCTTATGGGACCTCCCTGGGGCCTGGCATCTTAATGTCTCATCATCTTTGGAATGGCCACTGAGGCTGTGGACCTGTAGTTCCTTTCAGTTACTTCCACATCCCTATGCATTACCTGGCTGTGTGCAGCATCTCAGCATCATTTCTCCTTCTCAGTGCAAGCCTGTGTTTGAAACAGGTCTCGGTTACAGCAGAGGATATAAATAAATACCAAAGGATTTATAAATAAATACCAAAAGATGTCACTTCGTCTTTATATCTGGCGTTGATTTTTGTAAGTCTGAAGTGAAATGTGCAGAGAATGTCCAACACTTAACAATCCCCAAACACTATACTGGAATAAGGACTGCTCGATGCTGACAGAGCATCATGATGGGAAACGAATGCACAGTGAGTGACCAGTGGTATCTGTTCTTAGACAAGCTTTTGGGAAACATCATGTGTTCATCCGTAGTTTCCAATCAGGCTCATTGGGTTAACTTCCCTGATCCTCCAGAACCTGCAGTCAGCTCTAACCTTGATTAACCGAACAGCAGGAAGGGTTTGCATTGTTTTGTTAGCATTCTGTGGTCTCATCTCATTTCATAAAACCTTAACCCCTGTCATGAATCTACTGAAATGAATCTCTGTGTGATCTTTCTGTATCATGATATAGGTAGGAGACACTTTTCTTGCTGATAGGGGAAAAAGAGGAAAAGGCATTCTATAATTCCCAGCATTCCTTTCTGATCTCACAGTACTTTCTTCAACATGAACAATAAGTCTATTGAAATGATACCTGTTAGAGAAAGGCAGAAACTACAGAAACTCATAAGCTATGGTGTGGACCAGGGGTCAAAACCAGAGGTCATTGTCACCAGCCTGGGTCTTTAACAATATCCAGGAAATTCTTTCTACTTTTTGGTCATTTTTCACTTTCAAGGTAAGCTTTGCATGAAAGATTCAGGTTTTTTGGGAAATTAAGGCCAGTATCCACAAAGTTTTACAGTGAGTAGGAATTGCATATCTATCATGTGATTTAGAGAAAGTTCTGTTTGTCCTTAAATGTGGACAGGAAAAAGTTGTGGGTTCCCAATTATTAATTAACTCCTGTTCATTGAAATCAGTTTTGTTCTTTGTGACTGGAGCTGATGTTTCTCCCCTACCACTAATTTAGATTTCACGTGGTGGAGGGAAATAGACCCTTCGTTTTTCTTTTGCTTGGTATGTATTTCTTAATTATATGGTTGGTATTATCCTCTTTTCTTCTTCTTGGGAAAAGCCTCAAGAGAAATGGCCTAGAGTGTTTAGTAACATGATTTTGACTACACCTCTTCAGAGAATACAATACTCGGTAGTACTTCACATCTCCTTAAAAACAGATAAAATATGCCTGGTGGTGGTAGCCCATGCCTTTAATCCCAGCACTTGGGATTCAGAGGCAGGCATATTTCTGAGTTCCAGACCAGCCTGTTCTACAGAGTGAGTTCCAGAATATCCAGAGCTACCAGAGAAATGCTGTCTCAAAATAACCAAAAAAGAAAAAAAAATAAATAAAATCTAAACTTTTAGTGATATTCATTTTAAGCCACTTTACTGGAAATCATGGGGTGAGTTATGTGTATACTGTATGATTTCTGAATCTCAGACATATTTTTAGAGAAAGAATTTTGAAGATTTCCTAACTTTTCCTGATTGGAAGCTGACTGAAGTTTAATTTGTCTTAAAATGTAAACATGTTAGAGAAATTTAAACGAATACTTGAACATGCAGTTATGGGGTCTTGAAAATGTCAACGTTTGCTAGTTACCTAGAACAAATATTGAGGAAACAGTTCTAGATGGTAGTAATGTATAAGGAAGCCTAAACTTGGTACCTTCATTGAATCTGTAACAGCCATGTCTCAAGACACCTTTAAGACACACTCATAAGCCTTAAGTCCTCTGAGGAAGAGAGTGAGTTTTGTTTTGTTTTTCTAGGCAACATGTTAGAGACGTAACATGCACTTTCTGTTTCATGTACCATGGCTGGCTGTCTTCTTTCTCTCCTGCTTGCTGTAAATAGTCCCTCGGGTGTTCTGCTATCCGCTGGTCTCTGCCTGTCTCCCATCCCTTCTAGGACCTGGTGAGAACATTTCAAGGGCCTAAAGGAAGATGTGGTGGATAACTGGGCTGTGGAGGACTGAGTGTAATTGACAGGACTGGTACCTGGCTGAATAAACACCTGAGACCAGCATCCGACTCACCTTAATGTCTTTGTGTTTTACTTCCACACACAAATAGTTTCACTGGTGGTTGACGTTAGAAATGCTCTTCCTCTCCCCTTGGCCTTTTCAGATCACAGAATATCAAATAACAAAATTGACCATGGCTCAATCTCTCCCCTGGGAAATTCTGTCTGCCATTCACTTAAGGAATTATATATATGGATTTTGATTGTGTTTTTTGGGTCAGAATGCAGGCACTTAGAAGGCAGGGGCTATTTTTTCTTTGTGTCTCTTATTGGTTCCCAGGACATGACATGCGCTCAGTTAATACATGATTTATCCAATGCCTATCTGTTCTAACCAGCAGGTTGTGTATATATCTCCAATCAGTTGTTTGCTAGCCTGTTTTGTCTACCTCATATGATCACTGTGGACACGAACATGGCATCACAAATATCGGACTCTCATATTCTCATAAGTAGCAGAGGTCTTTGTCTGGTAGCCATGTGAACTGAATTGGAATAGCCACATATAGACACTAGCTCCCTCTGTTCAGAGTTTGAAGGCTTATCCTTTTAGTGATGTTGAAGATCAGTACATTGTCCTGTGACTTCAGTTTCCTTCAGGACATGCTGCTGAGCAGTCTGTGGCAAGGGCATGTGCTCTGATGATATACTTCGGGGGCACAGCAAGGAACGAGGGAATGACTTTGTCCGTGACTTCTGGTGCACATATCCCGCTGTTATAAGAGCTTCCCAAATGCTGTCAGCCTTTGGATGTTCCAACATGTTATTAAGCAAAGGAGGACAGCAGGAAGAGAGTTCTAGAACTATCATACTAGAGAGGAAGCTGAGGGACCGCCTCAAAGACATAAAATACGACTTTATTCCTGGCCCCGCAGTTTACCAGTTTGAGTGACTTTAAGCGGTCCCTTCTCATCTCTGGACTTCTCTGTCCTCATCTGTGTAGTGGGGGTGCTGTGGGGGAGAGCCTGCTTCCCAGGCTTCCTCTGATATCCTATGATCTGAGAAGGTCAAGGGGTGAGGGAAAACATTTCTGATGGGAGATTTAACTGGCACACTCCAAATGAAGCTACAGAAGCCAGCCACAGAGACATTAAAGTGAATCCTATGTGTGTTCATGCACTTATTCCACCAGATACCTGCCGGTCCTGTCATGCTGGGTCTCCCTCAACCCAGCTGTCCTCAGCGGGGAAGTGGCGTACCCCCATCCTCACAGTCACCTGCCTGCTTGTGCTAGGTGCTTAATAAACACCCTCCTCTGGGAAGAAAAGGCCCAAGCTTCCAGTGCAGTTGCTGCGGTTTTCTTGAGGTTACGTTTTCTTTTTAATAGAAACTTCGACTTCTAATTTACTCTGTAATTCAACAAATACAAATTCAACAAATTCAAAAAATTTCAGGTAAATCTCCAATTGCAGGCCTCCCTCCTGCCCTTGACCTTAGTGTGTTGCTCAAGGTAAGCAATGGCTCTCCCAGGTAGCGATATCCTCAATCCTCTTTTTGCTTCCTATTCCTTGAGACAAGGTCACACTGAGTGGTCCAAACTGGCCTTGAACTCACTGTGCAGCTCAGGGAGGTCTTGAACATTCAGACTTCAGAGTAGCTTGGATTACAGGCCTGCACCTCCAGTGTTGCTCAGAGCAGAGGTCCTTATGAGCTCGAGTATTCTAGACACGGGGAAAAGGACAACCGAGTCTTGATGATTTCCTTTAAGACAGCTTGCGGGAACTTTTACAGAACGTTCTGCGGGACGCTCATAGCCCAGGGCTGAGGCTATTTCTGCACACAAAGACCCGATGAGCACAGCGCAGCAGCTGTAATGGAGGAGACCTCTTCCTTTATGGTACTCATTACTCCTCATCATCTCAGCCCAGGAGCTCATGAATAAGCAGAGCTC